TCCAACTAACACAGCTTCCTCCAAAGGAAGAGAGGAAAGGCCCCCATGCATTGCAATGAGCACCTGGGGAGGCACAGGGAGACCTTCTGCCCTGCCCCTTGTTTTTCCAAGAGGAAGGGGTGATATGAGGACCCAATCATGGTCCGAATGGGTCCACATGAGAAGTGATTTCCAAGCACAGATGCATCTTCAACCCAAGGCTGCTAGGAGGAGGAGGAGGCAAGCCTGGAGAAGGGCTGGGCTGTGGGAGGTTCTTGCACTAGGGGTGGATGGTGCTGCTGCCCTGTGTGGCTCAGGGCGCAGAAATAAACAGCAGAGTCTGAGAGCTGGGCGGCATGGACCTGCAGAAGGGCCGTCCGCTGCTCCGTGTCCAGCTGGGCCCCCAGATGGCTCAGGCTCCCATCCTGCCCGTAACGCACCCCCCAAGAATCAACCTGCAGCAGGTAGTCCAGCTGGTGGCTGGGGCCCCGCCGGTCCCAGAGGAGGGAGGGGGCATATGTGGTTGTGTAGTTGCAGGCCAAGCTGGCATTCTCTCCTTCAGACACGGTCACCTCCAAGCGGACCTGGGTCACTGACTCCTGCCCTCCTGACACTGCAACAGAAAGAGTCGGGGCATGCATGGACAGGTGGAGATAGAGGTAGGTCAAACATGGCCAGCCAGCCCAGCAAGCGGACTGGTAGCTTCCCCTGTCCTCTCCTCCCACCTAGCCAGTCCCACTGCCCTCCCCTCCCAGAGACTTTTCCAAATTCCTGATTCCCTCCCCCATCTCCTCCAGAGCCCCTGCCCCTTTCCCCTGGCACAGCTGGGAGCCCTCTCACAGCTAAAACTCACCTGAAAGACAAAGAAAGAAGACCAGCAGGAAAGCCAAGGGCCTCATTGCTTCCAGGAGGGAGATAGAGAGAGTAGCCCCAGGGGAGAGAGGGGGATGGGGGAAGACCCACAGGAGGAGAGAGGCAGATTGAGGAGCTTAGTCTGGTTTGAGGACCTGCAGAAGAAAGTATCTTCCCTGCTGCTCTGTGCCACATCTCAGGCCCTACGCAGCAGCCCAGAAAGGAAACAGGGTGGGAGGAGTAGGCATCTATTCAGAGACAGCTCAGGCTTCAGGGCAATTCCCCTGTTGCTTACTAAGTTCTGCACTGCAACAGGGATACAGGGTGCCTGTGGGGGATTACATGGAGTCCAGATGTGCTTGCCTCCCCTGTATGCCTGCTTCTTGCTCTGGATAAGATGCAAGGAGCAGAAGGCAGCCCGGTCCCCAACCAGAGCTGTCCAGGCTAGAGGCACACCAGGTCAGAGAGACAGCTGAGGATTGCTGGACCCTGTGCTGCAAGCACCGACATGGTGGAGACACCCATGTGGCAGAGCCCTCTGGATCCCACTGAGTGAGGCCAGAGCTGGGTCCTGGTGAAGCTTTAGCTTGTCCCCTGCCCCATTTTACTGCCTGTCTGCAGCAGCTGTCCCTTGCCCTGTTTCCCTGGACTGCAAGCCTCTTGAGGCAAGGGTTGTCTCTGTGTTATGTACTCATGAAGCATCCCATCACCACAGGGGTTTGACTAGTGGCTGCTTTTCAAATAACAAATGTTCTGAGTAGCAAATGAAATCAGGCTAGGAGGAAGATGTGGGTCTTCAAGGAGCAGCTGATTAACCCTTGGGACAATTTGAATCATCATTGAGAAGGTGAAGTACAGACTGGAAATAGGGTGCCAGGCCCCAGATCCCCATGTTCCCTGCAGGCAGGAGAGAGTGGCTTGTTCCCCCACAACAACAGCAGGAAGCTTCACCCCGCCAGGGTAAGGGGTGGTGAGAGGGGAAGAGCTGAGTATCTCCTCCCCCAGCTCACTCACCCCCCCGCCCCCAAGATATTGCACTGCTCAGGAAGTGTCATCAGTCACTGTGCCCCCACAGTGCCCAGGGACAAGGCAGCATCCAAGGCCTGGGTGTTACAGAGACAAAGGAAGCTGTAGGAATGTGGTGAGTCACCCCTGTTGCTGCTGACTGTCCCATGCCTGGTCGATGAGCCCTGGGGTTTTGCCAGGCCACTGTCAATGCTAGGCCAATCCATAAAACTGTCAGACTGGTACATGCAGTTGATGTGAGAGGTGCCCCCTTCCCTGGCATTGGCTGACCCTCCTGGATGGCGCACTCTGATCTGGGCCATTGCACCTGGAACAACATCATGCACATTATGCTCGCAGGGCGTCCGGGAAAGCATTAGGGAGAGGAGTGCCAGCACAGACATGGACAGGCAGACATCCAGTGGGGACAGGGCAGGAGGGAGCAGGGCTGGCAAAGGTCACATCTGGATACCCCGTAGCCACCCATGGAGAGCTGGCTGCTAGCTCTGTGCCCCACAGGCAGCTCAGTGGCTAGAAAAGGAGGCGGGTAGGCTGGCAAGGGTTTTTGAGAAGGGTTATGGATTCCCCTGTGCAGTGCGGTGGTGCCGGGCACTGCCTGCAAGGACGCTGTCCAGAGGTCAAAGGACACCATCTCATTCATTCCCTTGGTGTAAAGCTGCCTGGAAGTGCTCATGCTGGGATTTCCTCTCCTATAAGAGTGGCTGGGGTGATCGCCCACTGCAGGTCCCAGAACAGACCTCAGCTGGGAGCCTGCAGCTCAGAGTCACAGCCTGAGTTGTTCACCACCGCTGCCCTGAGCTTCCGGGACACCGAGTGGCCACAGATAGAGCCGGAGGTCAGGAACAGGCTGCATCAGGTATGTTAGGTCATGCGATCCAGAAAGCAGCGCTAGAAACAAGAGCATCAGCATCAGCCGGATGATTCAGTAACCCAATCCTCACTCACTGCAATAGAAGTCGGGTACTCAGATGCCACAGGCAGCTTTGGAAATCTCATCAGCTACTGAAAATCCAAGGGTTGGGGAGAACATGGGAGCGGTAAGGGGCCTGGCTGGAGACAGACGAACAGAGAAGTGTGTAAGGATGGGTGTATGGATATTATCTGCGTGCCTTCTGTACCCATATCTGAAGGTCCAGGAAATGCCTCCCACAAACAAGCCAAAGACACCGAGAAGCAGGAGCCCCCTGCCTGCCTGCCTTCTGTACCAAAGGCAACTCCTGTCCTTCAGGGACCTGGCGCAGCTTGGAGGATATCAGAGGAACATCCAACGAGGAGGAAATGCATCCTGGAAAAGCCACAAATTATTCCAGAAGCTCCCCAGAGAGGTCAGGAGGCTGAGCGACCCGAGGCTCCCACTGGTGTCGTGGAAACACACGCAGCATACTTTTGGGTCAGGTCAGCAGAAACTTTTATTCAAATGAAACTACAGCTGTAGGGGGGACCCCAAAGTGACATGGATTGCCCAAGCACTTGGAAGGGGTTTCCCCCCCAAGAGCAAAATCAGGAGGCTTATATACTTTTTAACAGTCGCTTACAACTCATGTGATCTTATAGTGGAGTTTGCTAGGAAAAGCAGTTACAAACAAACATTAGCTCATACTGCTTTGCTGTTATCAGGATGGGAACCATGGGGGAGGCGAGGTTAGTTCACAAACCTCCTTCTTGCACCTGGAAATCAGAGTTGTACATACCTTTCTGCTATCTTCAAGGCCGCGGTGAGCGAAGCAGTTGCAGAGTTACAAAGAACAAACGCTTTCCTTTATCCGTTCTACTGTACAGAATCAGCAATTCCCCACAAAGCGGTTATATCTTATAACTCGTATGATCAAAGTTTAAGGCATTTATTTTTTCTGATTCCACATTGGGACCTCTCCCCGGGCAAGGGTGCGTGTGCAGGCATGGAGGAGATGCAGGAAACTACTCGCAGGCCCAGAGAGAGCAGGGAGGCAGGAAAGGACTTCACAAGCTGAGCAGGAAGCACAGCAAAAGCCAGAGGGAGCTGCACCCATGCCTCTCATCACCAGATTCCCTCCCCGGAGGGGGAGCAGAAGCAGCCAGCAGCAAGCAGGCATGAGCAATGACAGAGGCACCGACAGACCAAACAGGCCAGAGCAATGAGGTGGACACGTGCATGGTGAGTCATCCCCAGAAGCCCCACTGTCCCCACTCCTCTCTTGAGGGACTTGGCCATCTCTCCAGGTTCCACTGAGAGCGATGGTCTCTTTGCATTAATCAGCCCAGATGGAACAACCCTCCAAACCAGATGTGCCCCTGGCTGAGCTGAGACTGCAGGATCTCCCCGGTCTGGACATGGTTCGTGAAAGCACTGTAATTACCAGCCCAGATGTGGTCCGCGTTTATGTCTCATCCATTAATTCCAGGTGGTGACTTATGCTGTTAGCAGAACCACAAATCCTGAAGTGACTGACAGTGGCATCCCACTAACCCCTGCAGACGCAGCAGTTCCCAGCTGTCTCCTCTGCACAAACCCAGATGTGGCTCACAGCTGCATCATAATTGCTGATTACAGTCTACCAATGAATCCCAGATGTGGCTTGGCGTTTTGCTGTGTGAAGCAGTCGCACTGGGCCGTCTCGCTGAATACCCTTCCCCCGTCCAGATGTGGGTGACGGCTGCCTGCTATCCCGCATTCCAGATGTGGCTCGTGCCTGCCTCTCACGCGGAAGCCAACTTTGCGCCTGCCTCTCTGCCCAGCTGGGGTTCGCCGCTGATGCTGCCCCATCCAGATGTGTTTGGGAACGCAGGTGTGGGCCGGAAGGGACACGAGGGGCCAGCACTCAGCATGCTCAGGCTGCTTCCCCACCTCTGGGTTTTGGATGTGCTGCTCCAGCCATCTCACACCCTGACTTGTCCCTCCTCCCTCTACTTTCACAACCCCCTGATGCTTCATGGAGAGCGCCGGCATCCGGCAGCGAGGAGCTGGGGGTTTCTTGCCCTTCCTCCCCTCAACTTCATCCTCCCCTCTTCTCAGTGCCCCGTTCCCACCCCGTCCTCTGCATGCACTATCCTGGGGTGACAGATAGCCGGATCCGGGGTGCTTGTGGGACCCCAGGTGCATGCTCCAGCAGCACAGAGCACGAACCCCACGGCGTGGGGCGATGCAGGGGCCTGGATGGAGGTTCCCCATGCCCTCCCCTCGCCTCCCTTCCCCCCTCCGCCACACA